CATCAAGTTTCTGGGATCGAAACCTGGTGTAGCTCACGATACGATTTATCATTCTGGGTTAAATATCTTTCTGGCCTGCTCCCTGTATCGTCCACCCACCATTTTTTCGGATTAAGCAATGCACCTTGAAAACATTTGAGTCCTTAATTAAAGCGCATTGCATCGGGTATACAGGCACGTTGGTCTTCCCGAACTGAAGAGGCTTCGAAGGCAATTTCTAAAGCAAGCTTCTGACTGGGCCGCTGCCACTCTGGGGGGCGGAGGAGGGGACAAAGAGGGAGGAGAGGAGGTCGGGAAGGAGGACTCGAGGGAGAGAGCGGTGGGCGATGCATTTGTCCAGTACTTGAATCTGCACACGACCTAGGATCGCGGGGGGAGGGGAGGGGTTGCGGGCATGTACAGTGGGAGGCAAGAGGGGGAACGAGGATGGAATGTAAATAACGCCGACATAGCCTGCCGGTAAATCTAACGGAAGTAAACGTCAACGCGCCGCAAGAGAAGTGTGGCGCACGGCGTCGCTGGCAAGGTATTGACAACCGAGGAATTTGCAGTAGGTCTTTTCTATTCCTTTCCTTTCCTTGTGCTCTTTCAAGTGTACATGTGCTACTCGCAAACTCGGTGGCTGCTCTCATCGGCAGTCAAGTTCACAGGCGAGGCGCCTAAAGTCCCAACGTACAAGCTGGGCCTTTCCATCATGCTTCCAAAGAAGCATTAGGGGAAGAAAATTCACACGATTGCAGCCTATCCCCCCTGCTCAACGTCCACGGCGAGGAGGGGAGCTCGCATCGCCTGAGAAAGCCTTTTTTCCTCCCGTCGCAAATACAAAGTGATGATAACAAGCGTTATGATAAGGCTTCCAAGGGGCAATGCAAGAAGGAGAATCGGAGTTAGGGCTGTGAAAGAAGGGCAAGAAGAGCGGGACGACAACAGCAAAGTGAACATGATTGGCCTTATTGCGTCCTCCAAGTCCCTTCCATCTCCTTCCCTATTCTTCCGATGTTCCCACCTTTATCGTTTGGAAATCTGAAAGCCGCGAGGAAAAAGCAGGGCCACTCCAGGAGGCTCAGAAAGAGAAGGCCGTACGATGCGATGGTATGCATCCGGAGGAAGAGAGGGTGTTTCTCCTCTTCCTCGCTCGCCACGTGCTCTTTCGCTTCATCGAGTAAGGCTGGATGACCCATGACTATCGCGATGAAATTTGACAGCACTACACCTGTGATAACGACGAGGAGAGTGTATCGCTACAGGGATACACAGCGGAAAAATAGGAAGAAAGAACAAGTCAAGCCTGTGCAACCTCCAGCCGAGACATCCTCCCACTCTCCATTCGAATTTTGTCACGTCTCGAGCCATGCAAATACTTACGGATGCTGTCTCTTTGTTGGAAGCTATTCTAGATACGTATACGGCGTTGCCCACCCAGGTCATAAGGATTCCTACTGCTTGTGGCTTCGGCCAAGTCCGCAAAGTCCTCTGGTAGTAGAACCGGAAAGCTTGGAAAATGAATCCCGCAATCGCCACACCTGCCGCAACCAGACCTCCAACTACAAAGTTTTCGCTTCCGATACCTATCCCAAGGTAGGTCAGCCATGGAATCCACACGTCGAGAAGGGCAGAGACTGAGGACGTCATTTTGGATGGCCGAAGCCAGTCCCGAAAGCGTGGAGATGGTGAAGAAGGAGAAATTGAATGGGTTGTGGGAGGAAAAGGTGTATATTTATTTTTAAAATCAGAATTGCCGCCGTCTGGTGTGGAATTGACGGATTTTGAAGGCAGCCCGTTGGCATTTTTCGACCCGCTCCCCTGAGTTGTGGGGGGACAGGAGGAAGAGGAGAGGTCCCCCACAGGTGAAGTGACTGGCAAAACAAGAGTTCTTTTCTCTTGGCTCTGACCGAATATAGCTGTAGAAAAGTAGTTTGCTGAAGCTGAAGACATCTTGCTGCTGTGTTCGCAGCGCGCGTCAGCGAGTTCGTTCCTGCCTTCGAAACTGTATTGCGCTTCTTTTTTAAGATATACAGAATGTGACAACAAGCGAAAAGATATCAGAAGGCCAGTAAGATATATTTTCGATGGTAAGGGACACAACGCATGGTAGCAGGACTCGTCATGCTCGTACATAGCGAGAATTTCCCTAACAAGTTGAAAATCCGTTGAATTTCCGTTGGCGAAATTCGAAAAGAAAACGGCAGGAGGTTTTTCGATGAATTCTCCAACCCAAAAATCCATGGACCAGTCTGTGTACAGCTGGGTCAAAAATGGTACACCGAGAAACCATGGTATTCTCTTTTGATTGGTAACTTGTGAATCGAATGCGGATGTGATAGGCATCGCGTGGGTAAGACACAAGCTTCTTTCAAGTCTGCCTTTCTTACGTTACACGCCCCTTTGGCCGCCTACTTTGCGAACAAAAATAAATTTCTTGCGCACACCATTCAGTCCAATATTTCTGGCTTTTATTTTCAACTTATTGTAAAATTTCGCTTCTAATCCCTCGGAAAATCCACTCTACTACCGACAGTCCTCATTTCCATTGCTCCCTCTTCATGTGACAAGAAAGTAGTTGTAGTATCGATGCATTAGAACCTTCTATACGGATTACCCCATTCTGTAGACATGCGCTGTATCTAGCTCTCACTACCATTTATAAACATTTTTCCTATTGCTGATAGAGCGACAGATCTGCTACAGTTGCTGTCGGAATTCCAAGTACCAACCATGAGAGTTATGCATGTATATTTACATCGCTGCATCATTACGCATCACACGCATGAATGTGAGATTTCTTTATTTGTTCCATTGTGCTTCTTGGCACAGTAAAGCTACGGACCGAAAAGAGGAAGCTCTCAAGCGTGGTGTGGTGGCCTATATGCAGCCCTCTGGCAACATCAGCAACAATAAACTTCCTCTTGACGCCGTGCGTCGAGGAAGCTAGTCCAAAATTTCTCTGGCCAGCTCATATCCAAGGAAGAGGGCGGCATTGGCAGGAAAGGCACGGAACACAGCTACTCCCAGACCTATAGAAAGGGACGATATATATCAAGACGGAGACCATGTTAAGCAGCGTGATACTGATAGAGCCCTCGACAAGCCATTTTCACATTCAAATTCTACATCTATGAATGCCCAATTCTAATGAACGGCGAAGTGACCGGTTGCTTTGAGTGCTTCCGCCTCTCCTTCCACTTTACCCACCTGAATACAGGGCCATCGGGCCCCTGGTCCGCGCCACGTCCATCATGGTAGGGATGAGGCTTTTGGGGTTCGGGGAGGTTTGTATGATGCTTTTGGCCATGTCGATCGGCATGACGGCCGCCCAGCCCGCCACACCTGCCAAACCACCTGAATAAAAGAAAAACGGAATGTCAAGAGAACGAAGGGCGGGTCAAGAGGGGGATGGAGAGATGTGGAGCCGGCTTGTTCCAGACACAAATGGAAGCCGAGGTGAATATCCTGACCACCACGTACCCGCCACTAGATACGCTCCTTCTTGGGGCATGGTCGTGTAGGCCTTGAGGGCGACCAAGCTCAATTCGTAGGTCCCAAAGAAGAAGGCGTAGAAAGGGATGTCGCGGGCAAACTGGGCCCCCAGCCCCACGAACAAGCCCTTGACACCCTGGGTCTTCAAGACGTGGACCAGCATTTCCTGGGCGTCCATGGCGGTTTCTCCTGTCTTTAGCATGGCGCGGGAGACCTGGACTTTGCATTTGATCACGTCGCTGGGACAGAGGGCGGCGGAGGTGAAGATGCCTGTAAAACCGCCCGTCAAGAAGGGCACAACCAAGCTTTCCTCCTTCGCTTCCGCCTTCCGACTTTCCTGGTTGCTCTCATTCCCCAGGCCGTATCCTTCCAAATCGGCCAATATCCGCTTCAGCTGCTGGTTGACGCTGAAAGCGACCGCGTTCTCACTGACGGCGCCGACCAATGCGGGGACGCTTCCCTTCCAAAGGGCCCGGAGCCCTTCTTCTCTGAACGTGCTGATAAAACATTGAATGGGAGAGCTGAACGCCTCAGGACGGGCTTGCATTCGTACTTTTACTGTCAGGATGGATGGGATGGGGGTAATATAGTACTCTTAATCGAAAAATAACTCAAAACACGAATTCGAGCTTGTAGCGCCAAGTGTTCGTTTTCCTCCCCTTCGTATCTTCGACACAAGCATTACCTGTATCGAAAGGCTGCCCAGTGTAGACGCACATCGCTGAGCCCACAATGGATGACAAGACATCCTTGGCGGCGTGTACCACGTCCGCCGGGAAGAAGCTGGCCTGGCCGTCCACTGCCATGGGGGCACTCAGATTGTTGCCTGCATTTGGCGAGGTGGTGGTGGAGGACGACGACGAAGACATCCGTAGCTGTTGGTGGTTTGACTTGATAAGCAGCAGCTGCAGTACCCGACTTCAATTTGTTTCCTCTCTTGGCTGCGCTGCTTTCCGTGAAGCAGTGACAAGAGATCCCGCGCCTTGAACCTTGTTTTCGGTCGCTCGTATCAAATATTTACTCTAGCTCGTCTTGGCTCGCGTACACCCTCTGTCTTGTCGCCGCAGTGGGCCGGATGTGAAAACTGCGTTCCTTTTAAGCTCCAAAACGAGTGGAGGTCACGTACGCTGCTACAGGAAGTAGGAAGGGGAATTTAAGTACAGAGAACGACATTTTAAAACAGGTTACGGTGCAGAGGCTCGCAGTAATGTTACTTCCGTGTCAACAAATTTCTCCCATCGCGTTGCTGCGGTACAAAGGGAGCCGTTTGCCCGATTTATTGCCCAGATGCCAAGCTCGCTACGTTTGATGACGAATGCATATGCTTGCGACGCACCGAGCCTTTAAATTTGCCGAGGCACAATGTCACGACACAAAGCACCCATTTGCACCCCGGCGTCCGTCTGGACGCATTAACGGCATCATTCTCGACATTATGACTGATACAGCGCAGGGAACTCTCCATGGAAATGAAGAAAAGACTCACTTTTGCGAAAGCCGTGGCTCCACCACCCTCGCGAGCAGATCGCTTGGCCGTCGCAAAGCACACGGGCGGACAAAAAATGACCGTCCAGTATCCAGGGCGAGGACCGGACATACGCATGCCTGAGAAGAGAGTTCGTCTGATTGGGAAACTAACAATTTTGGATGTAGTACTGTAAAGACAATCCAAGGCCTTTCAGAATTCTTTGCCATGAGGACCTGTTGGCCGCTGATCCTGGGATGTTGTCCTTCGCTTTCTTCTTTTCTTTGTTGCCATGGCCCATGGGAGAAGCGTACGTCATGCCTTCTCAGGCATATTTATCTCTTCTCAGGAATGGCAGCGATTGAGTTTGTCGATGATGCTCAGTAAAAAGGGGGGAAGTAATGCAAGTGAAAGGAAAGGGACCTCCAGAAATGTGAAGCGAATAGCCGCGGATGCATACGTGGAGAAAGATCAACAGGTCATCAAACTAATTGTTTGTGGTCTAGATGAATCGTTCGACGCGGAAACATGCTAAAGAGCGTGCATGATGGGGCTTTGTAGAAGTAAAGACTTATGTAGAGAGGATGAATATCGGATACTGGATTCACACAACGCGCTGTGAAGGTACCTCTCGAGGCATAAAATACTCGATGATCAATCAATCAGCAAATTAAATGATCAATAAAATGCTTCACCTTCAATCAATTTTAAACACGAACATCAGTGACGTGGACGATATAGATATATTTAACAATGCCACCTACGGTACGCTTTACGATCATGTTGTCTCATACGTGATGTCGAATCCAACGACCCCCCCGAGGATGTTTTCAGATACCTGACCCAAGATAATTCGTGCAGGTGTTGTTTCAATTCCTAAAGCTTCCATCTGGGACAAAACGAAGCTGTAAAAATAATGGAGGGTATGGCACCGTTGTCTCCCTTTTTCCCTCAATCTAGCCCCCCCTCCTCCTCCAAAAGACGCATCTCGTTGGCGTCCGTGTCACTAGCATAGTCCAGCGGGTCATTGTCCATCGACGTCAGAAGTCCCTGCCCACCCCGTTCCCCCTCCCCCTTCCCCTCATCCTCCGATTCTGTCTCGCTCCCTTCCCATTCCCAAGCCGCCGGGGCCTGACTGGAGGGAATCTCTGAGATTCCCTCCTCGCCTGAGGCGGCTGGCGCCGCACCCAGGCTTCCCATTGACGCTGACGCGGTCGCCGAGACCAATGGGACAGGCGTTTCTCCATCGCTTGGCTCCCGTTCGAGGTCCTCTCTCCTTCCCTCTCCCTCTTTCTTTCCTCGCTTGGCCGGTTTTTTCCGGGCTTTTCCGGCAGAGGCTGCCCCATGCATCCGTTTGCTCCTCTTGGCAGAGTCAGGGAGGGAGGGAGGGGGGGGAAGGAGTTGGTTGGCGGCGAGAGAGGAGGGTTGCCGTATGAAAGGCTCGTGGAAGGCGCTCCATAGGCTCTGGACCCTGACTTCACCCATGTCTAGGGGTGAGTGAGTGAGGGAGGGAGGGAGGGGGGGAGGAGGGGAGAGG